CTGATCCCACAACAGCTGACTGAAGGTCACATGATCAATATCCACTGGTTCCACCTGACAAGTGTTGACGCCCCTAGTGGCGGTTCAGACCCCCCAGGTTGGAACCAGTGGACTAGCTCACTAGAGTAGTCTGGACTCGGTTCCACAGGTACTGATGCATGCAGATAATGTGACTAACATCCAGTGAAGTCATTTCATTAAAGAACACAACCTGAAGATTACTGTGATTATCTGGACTAGAGTTGTTCCGATACCATGGTATCACACATCAGCCCTCTGACATCAGTGTTCTTCAGATTGTCGGCCAATCAGGTCACTGATGTCAGTGATGCCATGGTATCGGAACAACTCTGGACGTTGTTGCCGCTGACAGTGTTTTTAATCCACAGCTCTGACATCAGGAAGTGAGGAACTGCAGTGCACTGTGGGTGATCTGAATGATGGATGCTGGTGACGGCAGCGAGGATGTTTTTAATCAGACTGACATTCTGACCTTCAAACCATGAATCTTTAATTGTATAAATCAAACAGATCAATAACTGAACTGAAGCACGTCTCTTCCTGTGAGCAGACTGAAGACCTGCAGCTTTACACATTAAAGAAACTAGTCATCCGAGTATTTTAAGCAGTTACAGGATCAAAGTGAAAACTTGTTACACACTGACGTCTGTTTGTGTAAGCCTACAGTATTTAATACACATACAGTTTGTAGTGGGCAGTGAACGTAATTTCTAATTTACTTTTTTCAGAAGTGGAAAAATAAAATTAGTTTAACTCCGTTTTGAATATTCAGCCTCTGTTTCAGTTCAGACTGTAACGTGTTTGTTTGTAATGTATTTATTAAAGAACTGAACTGCCTCTGGGTGTCTTCTGTTACATACATTCGATGGCATCTTATTCTTTGAGCAGCATGCCAGAAATATCTAGTTTTTATCCATTAGGAAAGATCTACAGATGTCTGCTCAGTTTTAATGCTTTGGCTGTTACTGCCGGACCTCTTTAAACTCAGTCTCATGACTGCAGTCAATCCAAAACTCAACAGTCAAATTGTTGACAAAGTAAAAAGGTCCTGTTCAGAATAATTTTTTATTTCTTCCATATTCTTGCTGGATAGTAAGTCACCGAATGTAAAATTGTAATTATTGCATTTAACAATGTTTATACACTGATAAAACATTTATTCACTGGATGGGAGTCTTGTCAAGCAGAGATGTGAAATAGTTTGGCTGTGGAACAGGCTAGCTCAGTTGCCAGAAAAGAGGTTGATCAGAAAGATGTTCAAGCCAAGCAAGATCACTTCACAGAACTGTATATACCGGTAATATTTCATTTACGATGAGGGCGTGGTCTGTGAGGTGTTTTAGGAGGAAGCAGGTTTAATGTTTACTCTAGATGGAGTATTTTACAAAGATATCTAGTGTTGTTATTTAGAGTACTACAGAATTGATATACACAGATGCCACGGTAGTTATTAGGGTCTGATTTGTCCCCACTCTTATGAATGGGGGAAATGAGCCCTTTGCACCAGATGTTGGGAAAACATCCTGCCTGCAATACCACAGTGACCAACTGCAACAGATGACATACAGTAGGTGCGTGTTCAGCAAAGCCCCGGGATGCTGACAGTCAGTGTTTGGATGTCGGTGTCTTGTTTGAGTGGAAGTTTTAGGGTTCTCTGTCTCGTTGACCCACACGCAGCTGATGTTCCTCCATTGGGATTGATGGATCCATGTTAAGCTATGTTTAGCAGTTGAGAGCAGGAAAAATGAACAAAGCTGGCTGTGTTCACATCACGCAGGTGTGATAAAACAGCAGCACAAATTATTAAAGGACCATTGTGTAGGATTTAGTGGCATCTAGTGGTGGAGCTGCAGATAGCAACTCATTGGCTTTACTACTTCGGACCTACTACGGTGGCCATGAAGTACACAAAACCCTTATTTTATCTAGAGCCAGTGTTTGGTGTGTCCATTCTGGGCTACTGTAGAAACAAGGCGGTTTAACATGGCGGTCTCCTTAGGCAACACGTGGCGGCTGTAGATACAAACAGTTCGTTCGAAGGTAATGAAGACCTTTAACATGATACAGGGTTCCCAGCAGGGTCTCCTGCTGCCTGTACAAATCTCAAATAAGAGGAAGTCTCAAAGCCACTCCTTCATGAAAAACTTTAATATATGTTAAAGAAGTTAATTATAATAATGATGTAAATATGAATCATAATATTAATAATGATACAGTTTATATTTTCACTGTTTTATATCGTCATATTTATCGATCGTCGTGTATTCTCAGAGGGAACTGAAATGATGTTTCAAATGATGTTCAAACTACAGAGTTGTTGTGGAAGCT